GCTCTGTCAGAGTGACCATCGGGTTCTTGGTCACCTCCCTGACCAAGGCCCTTCTCCCCCACTTGCTCATTTTCACGCTCGGCTCAAACAGCGTATCCCCCCGGGTGAGCTACGCAATCCCTGAACGCCCATAGGCTGTACCAGGTGTCAATCATAGAAAACATGAACCCCCTAATAACTTTTAAAATCAGAGCTGTACAGAAAAAAAAGGACTTGGGCACAAACCAGTCTTACAATAACTACATGTCAACATCACAAGCAGGGGGGAGAAAAATTTATGTTCTGTGTAATAAATTTCAAAAGTTTGTCCACAGTCCCATAAGCTTTGCTGGCGGAGGCGGGATTTATACCTGTACTGCAGCCCACCATCAGAGGGTGCTGTTCTCGGAGTGGCTTCACCCAGCGAGGAGGCAGACTCTGTCCATCTTATATACAGTCTATGTTCCAAACGTCTTCCATCTCTTAATGATGGAGACCACTGTGCTTTTTGGGATCTTCAATGCAGCAGATATTTAAAAATGAGTATGGTCTGCAGGTTAGCCATAACACTTTACACTAACTTCTTCTCTTTTGTGTGTGTGTGTGTGTGTGTGTGTGTGTGTGTGTGTGTGTGTGTGTGTGTGTGTGTGTGTGTGTGTGTACAGGTGGGTCAGTGGTTAGCAGCAATGTTTAACTACTTGAAGCACATCCCTCGATATCTCATCCCCTGTTACTTTGATGCCATCCTGGTGTCCACTTACACCACAGCCCTGGACACCACCTACAAGCTCATGTCAAGGTACAGAGGAGTCTGAGGTCTTTATTACTGGCTTGAATGCTTTTAAGTTTGAGGATTAAAAAGGATTCTTCCTGTCTCTTCTAATCAGTTTTGTCCAGAATGGCTCCACCTTTGTGCGTCACCTGGCACTGGGGTCAATTCAGATGTGTGGGGTCGGACGTTTCCCTGCCTTGCCACCTCTCTCTGTCAAGCTGGAGGACATACCCTACCGCATCAGTCCAATCACAGGACAAAAGGAGCAGTGCTGTGTCTCACTGGCTGCAGGTAAAGTACCAATAAAAACCTAAATTAATGTGATACTGATTGCATTGCGACTATTGCCCTAACAGCCCTGTTTGGCACATATTACTGTAATAATGTTCTTCAGGTCTTCCCCATTTCTCGTCTGGGATCTTCCGTTGTTGGGGCAGAGACACCTTCATTGCTCTCAGGGGACTCATGCTCCTCACGGGGAGACATATCGAGGCTCGGTACGCTCTGAATTTTAATCACTTTGGTACTTAAATATGTTGTTAATTATTGAAGAAAAGGCTCTCAGTAATTCACCTCTGTCTGGTGGTTTTCATAGCAACATCATCTTGGCTTTTGCGGGGACGCTGCGTCATGGTTTGATTCCCAATCTGCTGGGGGAAGGGCGTTGTGCTCGTTACAACTGCCGTGATGCCGTGTGGTGGTGGCTGCAGTGCATCCAGGTAGGAGGAACCTTAAACTTTTCCTAAACTGAGTCATGTGATATAATGAGAGGGGTATTCAGCTGATAGCAGAGATGACGAAAGTTTTCTGCTGCTATTTCTCTGATAGTGACTTATCTAGTTTGTTGCATGTTCTATTACACTTACTTTCTGACAAGTCCCTTCCTCTCTTTGTCTTGCTTTGTAATGTTAGAAGCTGTTGCCATTAAACCAGGTTTTCACTCACACAAATTATTTACAGCAATACACTTTTATCACATTTTCTGTGTCACAGCCTTATTCCAAAATGAATTAAATTCACTTTTTACTCCAAAACTCTACTCACAGTTACCCATAATGACAAAATAAAAAAAATTGAAACTGTTGCAAATTCATTAAAAATGAAAAACAAAAACATGAACATAAGTATTCACAGCGTTTGTTTTTGGAGATGCACCTTTGGTTGCAATGGGCTCTATGCACCGAGCAGTCACAATGATCAGTCACACCTGGATTAATCAGTTTTTCCAATAATGTAAGACAGGAAATAAAAGAGCTGCCTCAAGTTCAGGAGGTAGTGGAGCTGTGCATAGAGCCCATTGCGACCCCAAGTCCTTTTGAGTATGATGCCACAGGCTTGGCACACATATTTTTTGGCAGGTTCTCCCATCCTCCTTTGCTTCTCAAAACCTCTGGAGCTCCATCAAGTTGGATAGGAGCTTTGGTGCACAGCCATTTTCAGATCTCTTCAGAGATGTTCAGTTGGGTTGAAGTCTAGGCTCTGGCCGGGCCACTCAAAGATATTCACAGAGTTGTCTCGAAGCTCCTGCTTTGTTTTCTTGGTTAAAAAATTAATCTTCACCCCAGTCCAATATTCAGTGTGCTCTGGAGCAGATTATCAACAAGGATGTCTCTATACATTGCTGCACTAACCTTTCCCTTCACTAGTCTCCCAGTTCTCGCAGCTGAAAAACATCACCACAGCATGATGCTGCCACCACCATGATTCACTGTAGGGATGGTATTGAAAAGGTGATGAGCAGTGCATGGTTTCCTTCAGACATGACACTTGACCTTTAGGCCAAAGAGTTCAATCTTTGTTTCATCAGATCAGACAGTTTTGTTTCTTGTGGTCTGAGGGTCCTTTATGTGCCTTTTGGTAACTATGGGTGGGCTGTCATGTGCCTTTAACTGAGAAGTGGCTTCCGTCTGGCCCCGCTACCTGACAGGCCTGAGTAGTAGAGTGCTGCAAGAATGGTTGTCCTGGAAGGTTTCCCTTTCTACACACAGCAACGCTGGAACTCTATCAAAGTGGCCATCTGGTTCTTGGTCACCCCCCTACTTCGGTCCTTCTACTGCAATCAGTCAGATTCACTAGACAGCCAGCTCACAGCAGATGATGGAGGCCACTGTACTCATTGGGACTATCAATGCTGCAGACTTTTTTTCGTACGCTTCCCTAGATCTGTGCCTCCATACAATTCTGTCTTGGAGGTCTACAGACATTTCTTGGACTTATCACTTGGTTTGTGCTCTGACATGCACTGTCAACTATCAGACCTTATAAAGTCAGGTGTGTTTCTTTCCAAATCATGTCCAAACGACCGAATTTACCATAGGTGGACTCAAATCAAGTTGTACGAAAATCTGAAGCAGGGAACAGCATGCACTTAAGCTCAATTTAAAGTGTTGAAACTTTTTTCATTTTGTCATAATCAGTAATTGTGTGTTGAATTTTGAGGTAAAAAGTGAATTTATTCCATTTTGCAATAAGGCTGTTACATAAGAAAATGGGGAAAAGGGTAGCGCTGTGAATATTTTCCTTATGTACTGTATACAGAACCAATAGGGAAGATCTCCCTTGGATGTCTTTTGAATTGCTTAAGACTCCTTGCATGATACTGAGCACAGATGCAAAAAGAAGTGCAAATAAAAGCAAAATGACACTGGTTTCAAACCTTGTTTATTTAAATGAGGTGAACTTATCATTGATGAGCTTGCATTGGGCTACGAAGTATAAGAGACTTAAGTTGTGGCATAATTTTTTTATATTGTTGATAAATCCATGCCATTGCCCATCAACAATCAATGTTAGTCAAATCAACTCAAGAAGTTGAAATTAGACAATTATATCGAATTTAAAAAGCATGATTTAAAATTGTAATTAATGTTTTGAGGCTGAATTTATCTGATTTGAAATTAAATATAACCTTCTTGAAAATTCAACTCATCTTTTCCTTAAATTAAAAAGGAAAAGATTTTCAGGCAGAGTGAGGTATTTTGGGTTTGAAATGAGTGCTTTCAATGTTCATTCACTAAAATTGGCCACTAAATACAGTCTGTGGGTAATGGATAAGAAATATGGGGGATACGTATCTGTGAAGCCACAGACCCTGAAGGAGTTTTGGCAGACGTTAATAGAAGCTGTGCAAATCCATGCTCGATTACTTTTCTCCATGGACATAGATTACCTAATGGTTGTGCCAAGCTGAACTGAAATTAAATGTTTTATTTTTTAATTGAAGAAATAGAAAGTTGAATTTTCAAGGAGGTTAAATACAATTTCAGAGCAGATAAATTCAGTTTCAAAACATTTATTTCAATTTCAAAACCTTCTTTTCAGATTCAATATAGTTATTTAACCTCAGTTTAGTGGCACAAATCTCAGCCCATAGTTTCATCACTGTACTGAAATTACCGAAGATATTTCAAGTTTTTACAGGGTACTTATGTTAATGTTATACTTTTTTGTAATTTACTTTAGGACTACACTTCCCATGTTCCTAATGGAGTAGAAATCCTTTGCTGTCCTGTCACACGTTTGTACCCGACTGATGATTGTGAGCCCTGCGAACCTGGAGAAGTGGTGTGTATACGCACGCACGCACGCAAGCACACAAACACACAAACACACAAACTTACACACTTACTCTAACAGTTGATGCTATCACAGGCAGTCATGACACTTTGCATTATTAAATCCTAAACAATGACTTGAAAACTATTTCTGAATCTTTCCCAACGTAAACTACATCACACAATGAAACACAGTGGGAGTGTTCCTGCAACCCTTAAAAATGTTGTTACAGTTACAGTGTAGAGTCTGTTTATTATGGGCTCATAGCACTGTAGAATGTTGGATTTTACTCAACATGGTCTTCACAAGGTAAACAATCAGGGCATCATGCTTGAAACAAATGAAAAATCTTCATATAATGTTTCTGTAAGTCCTACAGTCAACCTTGCTAAATGGTCAGCTTAATATTTTGGTACATTATGTGTGTGTTTGTGGGTGTGTAGGAGCAACCTCTCTATGATGTGATCCAGGAGGCTTTGCAGCGCCACTTGGAGGGGATTTCCTTCAGAGAGAGAAATGCTGGACCCAAAATAGACATGAACATGAGGGAAGAAGGTGAGTGTTCAACAACGTTATTATAATCGTCTTTCACTTAGCTAACCTTAGTTTTGTACTTTTTCATTGAACTCATATAACTCAAGGTCTGTCCTTAGTTCACTCCAGATTCAGATTTATACTTAAAATCTGAATCTGTGTCAGGCATAAATTATAAGTTGCCTTTTTATTTTTATATACTCAAATAAAAAGACAACTTATAATTTATGCCTGACACAGAGTTTGATCTCGCTTCTCTTCAGGGTTTAATGTGTCAGCTAAAGTGGATCCAGACACAGGTTTTTTGACTGGAGGAAACCGCTTTAACTGCGGGACCTGGATGGACAAGATGGGGGAGAGTGAGGTAGCCAGGAACAAAGGCATACCTGCAACTCCCAGGTTACACACACACGTATACACATGGACTGGTTGCACAAAAACTCTGTTATACACACAAGTTTGAATGACAGTGAATAAGATCACCACACTTTGCTTCTGTATTAGCTTTTTCTATATTTTTACAACCCCAATTCAAAAGTTAGAGAAAAAAGAACTTGATGGTTTTACATTTATAGCCTTTAGTTAATTGAAAAGAGTGAAAAGGAAATCAAATAAAAGAATGAAAGATTTTATCAATTTTTGACAAATTTAGAAAAATATATGTACACTTGAAATATGCTACCAGCAACACATTTCAAGCCATTTGGGACAGGGGCACTTCTACCTTTGCCAACCACATTTAATATTTATGGTCTTCCCTGAAAAAGTGCTGGTGAGGGCCCTAAGCCCACATTTCCATCCAGTATTGCTTTACTGTCCTTGCCCACACTTTCTGAATCTCTTAGGAGATTCTGTAAATGGAGTTTCTTTAGAATTTCATCCTGAGGAACATATTTGTTGAACTATTGCCCACAAAGTCTCTCACAAAAAGTGTTGTGCTAGTTACTTTAAAAACCTGTTGCATTATTTATTACTTGTTACTGTCATTTCAAAGTAATTTGTTACATTATAAAATTGCCTTTGAATGGTATGGCATTACACTACTATGGCCTTACTTTTAAGTTGACCTTGTGCACTTGTGACTGCTCGGCTCCATTTGATAAGTGAAACAGGAGTAAAATGTTGCCAGTGGATGCATTTGATTGGTCAAACTGAGGCATGTGACAGTGCCCTGGGCTGAAATGTCTCTGACAAACCAAAACAAATGGATCATCCTGAATAACAGATGGATGAAAAAAAGAAGCAAGTGGCATGTAACTCAATATAACAGAGTAAAGGTAGCACGTTACTACCCACCTGTGCATGCCCCGAGCAGATAACTATTAACTCCCGGACCCTCCACACACACACACACACACACACGCACATAAACACTGGCTGACTCACCACTTCCTAGAAGTAGAGAGATGTTTTGGTTTGCATACAAACTGCACTTAGCAATGATGTTCCTCACATCCTTGTCTCTAACAAACTGAAAATAATGAGCATATCCATCTTGCAAATATAGAGCTCAACTTGTTTGCTGCTGCTGTCGTCTTCTTCTCCTCAGTAGTTCTCCAGCACAAACAGAAAATAAACATTTGCGTGGAATTTTCTTGCGGTGTTGGCGAATCGGTATAAAACCAACACACCACTTAATTTTGGGTTTAAAATGCATTGTAATGCACATTACAGAAATTTATACTGAGTAAATTATTTCCAATTTTTGTTTGTAATGCCTTACATTACCACATTACACCAAAAAGTAATGCAATACAGTAATTACATTACTTTTGTATTGCGTTACTCCCAACACTGCTCACAAAGTGGTGAATTTCTTCCCTTTACACCTTTGGGAGATTAAGTTTCTGAACAATGCCCAATTTATTCCAGTTATATTTCTAACTTGTCACAAATGAACCACATTTTTTAAATGTGTGACTGGAAACAAGTAACTTTTTTTTTTTTTTTTAAGAAATAATATCTTTAGTGTCAACATTTGACATGTTGTCTGTATTCAGTGCTTAATTGAATACAGGCTTCATCTAATTTGGAAAGCCATCACATTCTGTTTTTTATTGACCTCTAATACAGTGTCCTAACTTGTTTGGAATTGGGAGTTGTATTTTTTTAGCATTGGTTGACCTTGACCTTTTTTTACATTTGAATTATGTTTAAAAGCTACAAGTACCCAGTAAAATCAAAAATGATAAAACAGCAATGGTCTCCATAACAAATATATCAGAAAGTCCTTTAGAGACTTACTGACCTGTTTCTGTATGTAGAGATGGGGCAGCAGTGGAGATTGTGGGCCTCAGCAAGTCAACTGTTCGCTGGGTGGAGGAGCTCCGAACTAAAGGACTGTTCCCCTATGATGGGGCTAAAGTTCACAGAGATGGTAATACATAACATACCAGACACGCACACACACGCACGCACGCACGCACACACAAACACACACACACTCACACTCACACTCACAGACAAACATGGAGTTGAGGTTTTGTCCCCATCCCTCCTGATTTTTGAATGTTTCCTCTTTTTTGCAGGTAAGGAGGTGTTTGTGTCATACTCCCAGTGGAACCAGCAGATCCAACAGGCTTTTGAAGCTGGTTTCTGGGTCTCCCTTGATCCTCATGACCCCAAAGAGAAGCATCCTGACTTGGTACATAAGAGAGGCATCTATAAAGACAGCTATGGAGCCTCCAGCCCCTGGTGTGACTACCAGCTCAGACCCAACTTCCCCATTGCCATGGTGGTGGTAAGCAGACAGACTGCTGTGATTTACTCGATTTGCATTTCTCTCTTTTAGTTGTTTCTGAGCTGTGATTGGTTCATTGTGTCCTCAGGCTCCAGAACTGTTCACAGTGGAAAAGGCATGGAGAGCTCTGGAGATGGCTGAGCAGAAACTGCTGGGACCACTGGGGATGAAGACCCTGGACCCAGAGTAACAAACATGACTCCTTTTATTAATTCCCGATTATAGTCTGTAATAATTACCCTGCTCATTTCATACTGATAATGTGTTTGTGTTGTCATAGTGACATGATGTACTGTGGTTTCTATAACAATGCTTTGGACAACGAGAACTACAACCTCGCCAAGGGCTTCAACTACCACCAAGGACCAGTGAGTGTGGCACATGTATACATGTTGATAAAAGTTAGTCATAAACAGAAGTTTGTTGAAACTGAGGCATCATCGATAAATGTCCTAAAACAGTCTGAATTAGCGGCTTGCATTCCAATTTGAACATATCATCTAGACACTAGTTTTAGCACCAGTTTACTTCAGATTCAGCTTCTTGGACCAAAACATGTTGGCAGGGTGAAGAGACAAACAGCGACCTCGATGTTTAAGCTAGTGAATTTTTTTACATTAGCCATTATTTCATTAAAGAATATGAGAAAATATTTCATATTAGAATTAATTACCATAACAACAATTGATCTGTTATTTGACAAATCACAACATGAAATTTATGAGGATGCAGGACATAAAAAGTGTGACACTGGGTAAAAGCAGTTAGTGTTACTGTTTGAAGCGGTTCAGACATTTATCTTTGTAGTTGGTTAAAGAACTAAAAGAATTTTAACTGCACATCTCATTCACACTTTGCAGTACATTTTCAGTTCTCAGTTGTCAATTTTGTCAACATTACAAATAAATCACTGACAAAAGTTTAAAGGGATTTTAGTTTCAGTTGTTAATGATTAATGTATTGTTCTATTGCATTTTAAGATGATTAGTGCAGAAACACATGAAATTTGGCATAATTCATTGTTACAATGTGGATATACAGTTATGAAGAAAATGGTACGTGATTGATAACTAAATGAAAAGATGATATGAGGAAAATGGTGGAAAACAATAACAAAAATAATTATTTAAAAAAATACACAGAGCTATTTAAATCAAGGTTCATACAACCTTGAAAAAAATAAACAATTAAAAATTACTGAGTGATTTATAGAAGTGCAGAGTAAACACATATTTCTGATATGATCTTTTTTGCAGGTTATACAGAACTGTTTTTTTTCTAATGCATATGGGTAACTATCTGTCATATCTGTGTGTCTGTGTGTGTGTGTGTGTGTGTGTGTGTGTGTGTGTGTGTGTGTGTGTGTGTGTGTGTGTGTGTGTGCGTGCGTGCGTGCGTGCGTGCGTGCGTGTGTGTGTGTGTGTGTGCACCCACATGTGTGCATGCAGGAGTGGCTGTGGCCTGTAGGTTACTTTCTACGTGCTAAACTCTACTTTGCAAAAAAGCTGGGAGAGGAGAAGTACAGCAGAACAATGTCACTGGTGAAAAATGTCTTGTCTAAACATTACACCCACCTGGAGAGGTACAAAAGTCCCATGATCATCATCTTTTGTTCAGCCTGCCATTATCTGTCATGTGTGAAAAAATCCCATGCTGCACTAAATGTAATATTATCTGGTATTATTTCTTACTTTACAGTCTTTATTATATGACAGTGATTTTTTTTCAAGAAGAAATCAAAGACAATAAAAATAATGTATAAATGAAATTGTTCAAGCCCCATCTTTTTTCATTTTCAACACCTTTCCCATCTGTTTGATCTTTCTCAGGTCTCCATGGAAGGGTCTCCCCGAGCTGACCAATGAGAACGGACAGTTCTGTCCCTTCAGCTGTGAGACTCAAGCCTGGTCTCTGGCTACCATGCTGGAAGTCCTCCATGACCTCTAGAACCCTCTCAACTCCTTCATGTGATGCTGTCTTCCTTCCTGAAGCTATAACCTTCAGCTTAAGTTTGTGTTTGGACTCATGTCCGCTCATTAAGAAACCTATAACAATCTCAGCTGTTAATTCAAACTAGTCACATCTTTTAAAGGGATATTCTGACGTAAAATTAACTTAAGGTCAAACACATTGTAACACTGAGTTAGACAACCCCTCAAGAGATGAATGTTGCCGACTGCTAGCTTCTCTAGTTATACCAACTTTAGTAACCACTGCACCAGCAATACACAACGGTCTATGGCTCCATGCGCACACCTTAACCAAAAAGCCACTCTATAGCCACAAATAATGCTCAGAACAGCACCAACTTCATCAACAGTACATATAGGGTCCCAGTCATACTAGCCATCAAACATCTTTTTAGCTTTGCCTGGTTTCTTTAGCAAAGAGACCAAACACAACTAACCCACTCTCCTCCAGAAGCCGCTTGTTTGTAGGGGGAGCCCTGATGAGGCAATCACCAAGCGCAGCGGAATTTTGCAGCTCAAAGAAGAA